CGCCTGCCCTCTTGCGCGAGAGGCCGCGCTGCCTGAGCTCCTGCAAGCGCCCCCAGAGGCGTCGCAAGCGCGTCGCCGCCTCGTCGAGCCCGCAGCAGCAGTCGCCCAGGCGGAGCGCGGCGCCGGCAGCGTCCCCCGGCGCAGTAAGCTGCGCCCCAAGGACGGGCAGCGTCGACACCGCGTTGCCCGCGAGCACACCAGGCATGGCCAGCGCCCCCGCCGGAGACCAGACCTGCGTCTTCGCTGCGTTGAGCTCAAGCCCCAGCGGCTCGAGGAGGGCGCTGAGGCGCGCCAGCGCGGGGGCGGCCAGGTCTGCCCGCAGCGCCAGGTAGGTGTCGTCGAGGTAGGAGTAGAGCTTCGCGCCGGCGTCCTGCAGCTGCAGCTCGCGCAGTAGCTGCTCGAGGGCCTGTCTCTGTCCGATCGAAAAGCCCGCCGGCGACAAGGGGCACCCTTGATCGAAGCCACGGCTGCTTTGAACAGTCTCCAGGCGCCCCCCGGCTCCTCGCCAGTAGTGGTCGGCGGGACCTGCGTACCATGCCTCCAGAGCCCCGGCCACTTCGGGGACGGCCGCTCTCATGGCCTCCAAGGCGGGCCCTCGCTTCATCCGTTGAAACGCAGCTTTGACGTCAACCTTGATGAACGTTGCGTTCGGGCGGATTTCGGCTTGGGCTTGCAGGCGCTTCACCAAGAGAGCTGCGCCGCCCGCGCGTCCGACCCCGTACTGGTGCGGCCCTGCTGCCTCGGAGAGTTGCGTCTTCCGCGCCCGGGCCAGCGCGCGGAGGCCGAGGCGGCGGAACGTGGCCCCCACCAAGAGAGGGCGGACCTCCCCCGCGCCTTTAGCTTGCGCCACCAGCTCCCCTGTCCGAAGCGCCTGGAGTGTCTCTTGGGGCAGCTCCCCAAACGCCACGCGCGTGGCGGCCCAGGCCAGCAGCCCAGAGGTCTCGTAGTCGCCGGCGCTGGCGGCGAGGTGCTCCAAGCGCGTTCCCATGAGGCCAGGTGCCGCCAGCCGGGGCGGGCGCCGCAGGAGTTTGCGCGCCTCGTCCTCGACCTGCTCCCGGAGCTCCGCCGTGGGCAGCTGGCGCTGCAGGGGTGGTGGCTGCTGCCCCGGTCCGTCGTCAGGGAAGCAGGCCTGCAGCTGGCGGAACGTATCCGCCGTGCGCGGCGCGAGCGGGGCACTCGCGGCAGCAGCCAGGGCGCGAGCCTCCTCTCCAGCAGCGGCCAGCGTGTGCACCCGCTGTGCCCTCTGCTTCTTTGTGGCTGGCCGAGCCGCCCCCCGAGGGGCCGGGGCGCCTCCAGTGGCGGAGGCCCACAACAAGGTCCATTGCCCGCCCCACCACAAGGCGAGGCGTTCCTCCAAGAGCTCTGCGCAAGTCTGTCCGTCCCTGCGCGGCCGAGCCAACAACAGAAGGTCCTCTTCCTCCTCCTCCTCCTCCTCCTCCTCTTCCTCCTCTTCCTCCTCCTCCTCCTCCTTCTCCTCCCCCTCCTCCTCCTCCTCCTCCTCCGCCTCCTTTTCTTGGTGGGGATGCGACTTCGCGACCCCGCCCCCCTATCACCCCACCCTTGTCCGGCCCACCCGTCGATGTAGTGAAAAATTAGTCCTGGAGGTTCCAGGGGGTGTGGCGTATACGCAGTCTCGGAGTAGAAGCTGTGCGTGCCGGTTTGTGGGCCCCCATTTGCAGGAATCCCGCCTCAGGAGTGAGAGGCATCGCGGGCGGCATCGACACCCGGAGTGGCCCCCCTCCCTCCCGCCCCTGCCCTCGGCGAGGACCGTCATTAGGCCTCGTCGGTGAGGACCGTCATTAGGCCTCACACCCCTCGCAGCTTCCATCAATAGGGTTGCGAGGGTTCACGCTCCCACCAGTCAACCTTCCATTTTGCCGTCAATAGGCGCCAGAGGGGGCCGAGGACCCCCCTACGGTCCCTCGGCCAACGAAGACGGCCGTAGGGGGGGGTGACCCGTACCTCCATCTCAAGGCATTCGCGCCACCACCTACCAGGACCTACCATTCCAGGCACCAATTGCCACCCACCACATCTATCCTCCTTTGGGCCGCGAACGGGATTTATTCCCCTGCCGGCTGATTGTGCCTGTCAATGTCAGTCAGCCTTTACATTTTTACATTTTGGCACTTGGGCCACCCCAGCAGTGCACCAAGGGTGACGGTTCGACCCGTGCTGTAGTGGCACTCGTGCGGTCGTGTCCCTCTCCCCGCCCACTTAGGGTGATGGTTCGACCCGTGTTGTAGTGGCACTCGTGCGGTCGTGCCCACTCCCCGCCAACCAATCGAGAAGACCTACCTCCAGGATCCCTTGGGGCCACAAATCTAGGTTTGACTTCAGTCTCTGCCCCCCCGCCCCTCTCTTCCCCGCCCCCGCTCTGGCCCCTTGCCCGCCCTCTTCCCCCCCCCGTTTTTCTTGCCTTGTCTCTCCTCCTCCTCCTCCTGTCCTCCCTGCCCGTTCTCTCCTCCTCTGCCTCTGTCTTGCCCGTCCCCGCACCAGCGTGTCTGGATCGCGGGGTACGGTGTCGGGTTTATTTTCTGTCCTTTTAGGGCTGCCCCAATCGAGGATCCCGCAAGCCCCTCGCCTGCGCCGCGCGCCGTGCTGCCGGCGCACGTGGGAGATTATTCGCCTGGGGTCGAGCTCGACGCCTCGGTCGCTTCGTCGTCTGGGGCGCCTTCGCGGACCTGGAGTGGCATCCAATTCTTGGCGGGGGCGATCGACCCTCCTTTTCCTGGGTCCTCGTGGACCCTGGTCTCCGGCTTCTGATCTGGTGTGCGGATTTGGGGCTGTTTCCCCAAACGATTATGGTGATTTTGACCCCTCCCCCACGCTTTGGCCGGCTCCGGGGGGTCCTGGTCCGAAATGGCACTTCCCATCTTGTTCCATTCCCCAGGGGAGGCATGGGACTTTTTCTTGGTGGGGATGCGACTTCGCGACCCCGCCCCCCTATCACCCCACCCTTGTCCGGCCCACCCGTCGACGTAGTGAAAAATTAGTCCTGGAGGTTCCGGGGTGTGTGGCGCATACACAGTCTCGGAATAGAAGCTGTGCGTGCCGGTCTGTGGGCCCCCATTTGCAGGAATCCCGCCTCAGGAGTGAGAGGCATCGCGGGCGGCATCGACGCCCGGAGTGGCCCCCCTCCCTCTCGCCCCTCCCCTCGGCGAGGACCGTCATTAGGCCTCGTCGGTGAGGACCGTCATTAGGCCTCACACCCCTCGCAGCTTCCATCAATGGGGTTGCGAGGGTTCCCGCTCCCACCAGTCAACCTTCCATTTTGCCGTCAATAGGCACCGGGGGGGCCGAGGACCCCCTTACGGTCCCTCGGCCAACGAAGGCGGCCGTAGGGGGGGGTGACCCGTACCTCCATCTCAAGGCATTCGTGCCACCACCTACCATTCCAGGCACCAATTGCCACCCACCACATCTATCCTCCTTTGGGCCGTGAACGGGATTTATTCCCCTGCCGGCTGATTGTGCCTGTCAATGTCAATCAGCCTTTACATTTTTACATTTTGGCACTTGGGCCACCCCAGCAGTGCACCAAGGCTGACGGTTCGACCCGTGCTGTAGTGGCACTCATGCGGTCGTGTCCCTCTCCCCGCCCACCTAGGGTGATGGTTCGACCCGTGCTGTAGTCGCACTCATGCGGTCGTGCCCACTCCCCGCCAACCAATCGAGAAGACCTACCTCCAGGATCCCTTGGGGCCACATATCTACGTTTGACTTCAGTCTCTGTCCCCCCGCCCCTCTCTTCCCCGTCCCCGCTCTGGCCCCTTGCCCGCCCCCTTCCCCCCCCCCCGTTTTTCTTGCCTTGTCTCTTCTCCTCCTCCTCCTGTCCTCCCTGCCCGTTCTCTCCTCCTCTGCCTCTGTCTTGCCCGTCCCCGCACCAGCGTGTCTGGATCGCGGGGTACGGTGCCGGGTTTATTTTCTGTCCTTTTAGGGCTGCCCCAGTCGAGGATCCCGCAAACCCCTCGCCTGCGCCGCGCGCCGTGCTGCCGGCGCACGTGGGGGATTACTCGCCTGGGGTCGAGCTCGACGCCTCGGTCGCTTCGTCGTCTGGGGCGCCTTCGCGGACCTGGGGTGGCATCCAATTCTTGGCGGGGGCGATCGACCCTCCTTTTCCTGGGTCCTCGTGGACCCTGGTCTCTGGCTTCTGGTCTGGTGTGCGGATTTGGGGCTGTTTCCCCAAACGATTATGGTGATTTTGACCCCTCCCCCACGCTTTGGCCGGCTCCGGGGGGTCCTGGTCCGAAATGGCATTTCCCACCTTGTTCCATTCCCCAGGGGAGGCATGGGACTTTTTCTTGGTGGGGATGCGACTTCGCGACCCCGCCCCCCTATCACCCCACCCTTGTCCGGCCCACCCGTCGACGTAGTGAACAATTAATGTTCTGGGGGGTGTGGCGTATACACAGTCTCGGAGTAGAAGCTGCGTGTGCCGGTTTGTGGGCCCCCATGTGCAGGAACCCCGCCTCAGGAGTGAGAGGCATCGCGGGCGGCATCGACACCCGGAGTGGCCCCCTCCCTCTCGCCCCTCCCCTCGGCGAGGACCGTCATTAGGCCTCGTCGGTGAGGGCCGTCATTCGGCCTCACACCCCTCGCAGCTTCCATCAATGGGGTTGCGAGGGTTCCCGCTCCCACCAGTCAACCTTCCATTTTGCCGTCAATAGGCACCGGAAGGGGCCGAGGACCCCCCTACGGTCCCTCGGCCAACGAAGACGGCCGTTGGGTGGGGGTGACCCGTACCTCCATCTCAAGGCATTCGTGCGACCACCTACCATTCCAGGCACCAATTGCCGCCCACCACATCTATCCTCCTCCTCCTCCTCCTCCTCCTCCTCCTCCTCCTCCTCCTCCTCCTCTTCCTCCTCCTCCTACCCCCCCGTTTACCCCCCTCCCCCTCCCCCCGCTCCTCCCGCTTATCCTGCCCTGCCTCCCGGGGGGGGTCCAGCGGCGGACCCCCCCCCGTTCGCGCGCGAGCGCGCGCGCGCGAGCGGAGCAGGCCGGGTGGTCCGCACCGCCAGCGGCGAGGCGGGGGCCGAGGAGCGGGCCGAGCGCGTGTGGTTCCCGCCGTGGGCCCCCGCCCCGCAGCGGCTGCCCTCTCCTCCTCCCTCCTCCTCCTTCTCCTCCTCCTCCTCCTTTTCCTCCTCCTTTTCCTCCTCCTTCTCTCCCACTTCCTCCTCCTCCTCCTCTTCCTCCTCCTCCTCCTCCTCCCTCCCTCCTCCTCCTCCTCCTCCTCCTCCTCCTCCTCCTCCTCCTCCTCCTCCTCCTCCTCCCTCCTCCTCCTCCTCCTCCTCCTCCTCCTCCTCCTCCTCCTCCTCCTCCTCCTCCTCCTCCTCCCTCCTCCTCCTCCTCCTCTCCTCCTCCTCCTCGTCCTCCCGCCCTCGCCTCTCTCCTCCTCTCCTCCTCCTCCTCCTCCACCTCCTCCTCCTCCTCCTCCTCCTCGTCCTCTCCTCCTCGCCCTCGCCCCCTCCTCCTCCCTCCTCCTTTTCCTCCTCCGTCTCCTCCTCCTCCTCCTCCTCCTCCTCCTCCTCCTCCTCCTCCTCCTCCTCCTCCTCCTCCTCCTCCTCCCCGGGGGGGCCCTCGCCGGGCCCCAGGACCGCCACCAAAACGACCCAGGATGAAAAACCGGTCCTGGGGAAAGGGTCCGGACTTCCGGAGACGCCGTCTTGCAAAAAATCAGGGCGTCGCATGTCCGGGCCCGAGCCATTAAAAAAACATGACGGGAGCTGTTGCGCCATCTTCAGCCTTTGGGGCCTTTGCCAGGCCTCTGGGCCGTCAAAGAACAGCTCAGGATGAAACACCGGTTCTGGGGAATGGGTTGAGACCTTTGGGGGTCGATGTCATGAACAAATCATGACGTTGGGAGTCTGGGCTCGTGGGAGGGGCCAGTCCCAGATTTCCGGCGATATGGTTCGATCGTTTCGTTCTTTCCGCCGGCCCAGGCTATCCCATCGCGGGCGTTTGCCCGCGTGTTCGTTGCCATTGCGGCGTTGACGGTTGGTGGTAGGTTTCTTGAGGTGTTGCGTGAGCAGTCATGGGTGAAATTTCGATTTCCCAGAGAAAATGGAAGGAACACCTGAGACAGATTGTAAAACAGCGAAGGAGCATTGTGCCCCTCCCACCGAAAAGGGGGCCCTCCTTCAGCGGCCCGACTGTGTGTGCATGCGTCCTCGCCTCTTCGGCCCACCTGCTTCTTGCCATTGGCGGAGGCCCCGGAGTTGCTGACCGCATGCCGTTGAAGGTTGTTTCCACGTGGGCATCCAATGGTCTTGTGCTGCAGTTCCTCGGAGGTTGGTTTCGGCATCGGTCCTGATTGATCGTCTGGTCTAGTCTGGCTTGATCCAGTGTTGGGTTTCTTCTGGGTTGTGAGTCTAATCCAACTTCAATGCCTCTCGCAGTCCGATGTGATTGGTCTTCGCAGCGCCTTCGAAGACCTCCCAGGGGTCGCCTCCCAGCTTACCTTTCACCATAACCGTGCGTCCGTACCGTGGACCATATCCTCTCTGACCGTATGCCTCTGGACGTCCTCAGAGGCCCAAGCAGGAGACAGAAGCGTTGATGTTCCATCCTGCTTGCGCTCAGCTGCGTTTGCAGGGTCCCTGCAAGGTAAACGGAATCGCTTGTGGCAGCGCCTGCGCCCGACCACGGGAAGGGCTCTGGGGTGAGCGCCCCTGGGCCTCGACAGGCCCCTCCTACACGGCAGAGGTAGGACCCAAGGATTAGGTCGGGTACGTCTTTCCACAGGAGGAATATTCAGACATGGTAGAGAAGAAAGGGGCGATTTTCCGACTATGTTTGAGCACGTTTCGAGTATGGTTTCATGTTCCTTCCCGAAGCCGCTTGTAGGGGGACATTCCCGACCCAACCCAAGGAATCTTGTTTTCGCTTCGTTTCTCATCAGTCAAGGGGGGGGCGGGGGACAAACGTGAAAACGGGCCGCGGCCTCTCCCCCCTGCATGCCAACCTCGGAGGCGTCTGGTCCCCCCCCCCCCCCTGCATGCCAACACCCCCCAGCACACAGCGAGAAGCGCCAACCCCCCGCCCCCCCCCCCCCCTGGCATCCCAATGGGGGGGCGAGGGGGAGGGCGATGAGTCAAAGAGTCGGAGCGCGTTGCTCACCCCCCCGCACTCGCCTGCGCGCCCTCTCCGCCCGCGGGGCCCCCGCCCCCAGAGGTGGCCCCACATGGGCCTCGGCCTGTTCGCCATCCGGGCGGTGCGGCCGGGGGACGAGCTGGTCTGGAACTATCCAAGAGCGGCCTGCGCCCCGCCACGCCGCCGCCGCCCCCCCCACACACACCTTGCGGGCGCAGGCGCGGTGGGCTCGGGCGCAGCGCGGTGGGCATGCCAGAGTGAGGATGCTCGAGCGGTGTCATTTCATCCCTGGGGGCGTGCGTGGCCGCTCGGCGAGGGGTCCTGGGCACATTCCCTCCTCTTTTCTTTTTTTGATGTTTCTCTCTCTCTCTCTCTCTTTCTCTCTCCCTCTCTCTCTCTCTATATATAGATGTATGTATCCCTCCCTCGCGCACGCGCCGCGCGCGCACCCTCGCTCTTATCCGCAACTGCCGGGAGCTGGGTATCAATTCCGGCTCGTGCCGACCAGGCCTCCCAAACGGGGTCGAGGCAGATGGGGTCGGAGGATCCCACCGCATTGCCGACGCATCGGCAATGCGGCTCGATGTTCAGCCTGATTTTCTCCACGAGGGCGGATGCATCGCTGCATTGGCGATGAGGCACGATCCTCCGACCCCATTTGCTGGGACCCCATTCGGGAGGCCTCCACGCTTGCCCCGCGGAGGGCCCCCACTGTTGGCGGGGCGCGGCGGGCAGACTGCACAGGCGCGCGGACGCGGAGCCAGGGGCGGACGAGCACCCCCGCTGGTACGTGCCGGTCGACGACGACGGAGTGGAGAAGGCCCGCTGGGGCCGCATCGTCGCACTCGGAGGGGGAAGGGGTACCGATGCCGCTGCCTCTGCCTCGTTCTCGCACGCGTGGGCCCCCCCTGGGAGGCCCCCGTCGCCACGGCCGGGTTCGCCTCGAGGTGCTGGTCAGAGCGCACGCTGGGAGAGGTCGGGTGTGCGCTGGCGATTTCGGTATGTTTGGTTCCCACATCATCGCGCACTTCCCTGTCGAGCTGCCCTCTGCCCATCGAGTCGAGCTGGTTGTCGTCCTCTGTCTCCTCTCCTCCTCCTCCTCCTGCTCCTCTTCTTCCTCTTCCTGCTTCTGCCCAGCCTCGTCAAGGGGAGAGCAGGGGCGGAGCGGGATGAGGGGGGCGCAGGGTAAGCGGGGGGGATAACAGAGGCGGAAGGGAAATTGCGCGGGAGTGGAGAGGGGGAAGGAGCCCAAGGAGAGTTGCCCCCATCTTTTTTGTCGCCTCTGCCTTACGTGGGTTCTTCCTGCTCCCCCCAGTGCTCCTGTTGCAGCTCATCCTTCCCCATCCTCCTGATCATCCTGCTCCTCCTCCCTCCTCCCTCCTCCCTTCTCCCTCCCTCCTCCCTTCTCCCTCCCTCCTCCCTCCTCGCTCCTCCATCCTCCATCCTCCTCCTCATCCGCCTCCTCCTCCTCCTCGTCCTCCTCGTCGTCCTCCTCCTCCTCCTCCATTCCTTTTCCTTACGAATCATTCCACCTGTCGCACCCCGAGGCCAGTCGGAACGGCGGGCTGGGCGTTTCGCTTGAGACGTCTAATGAATTGTGAGTTTGAAGCCCAAGATGTGGCAACAGTTTCACAGATGGAGGACTGGAAGCTTCCAACATGTGGCTCTCGCCTTAGCGCCGCGCACACTTGGTAAAGTTTACAAGAACTTCACGGATTTGGGGCGGGTGGTTGTCAACATGTGGCTCGCGCCTTAGCGTTGCGCACATTCGTTTTGTAAAAATCGCAACAGTTTCACGGAGTGAGGGCGGTTCTTTTTCAAAGTGTGGCCTTCGTTAAGCACCGCGCTTTAGTTTTAGAAATTTGCCAGAGCGTCACGGTTTCAGAGCGGGTGGTTTGCAAAATGTGGGCCTCGCCTTAACGCCGCGCACATTCGTTCGTTTATGTAAGATTGAGGCCGGGCGGTTTTCGAAATGCGGTTCTCGACGTAGCGCCGCGCACATTCGTTGAAACGAAGTGCACGAGCTTCGGGGATTGAGGGCGATTATTTCTCAACATGTGGTTCTCGCCGTAGCGCCGCGAACATGAATAATGTTTCATTGCTATTTTGCAATGCTTCACTGGGTATCATGGCTAACGTACCAGATGTGGTGCTTTGGAATGACTCAGGATTGTCAGGGCGTAACAGTTACGCTGATTCGCGGTGTTGGCAGTGCAGGAGTGATATCTTGGCACGGTTCAGGATCGTCAAGGCGCAACAGTCGGGTTGACTCGCAGCGTTAAAGTCTTGAGAATGGTGGTTTGGCACGCTTCAGGATTTTCAACGGTTGTCCCCCAACGGGGCAGTTCCCTCAGTGGAAATGAACAAGTGTTATAGGGTTTGAGAAGAGGGAATTTGGAGGAAGGTTGTATTCCAACATGGTTGGTGAGGTTTGGGTTTACATTGGTCTGTCTCTTCCTCCTCGTCCAACGCACACACACACACCAATGATTACGCAGCAGACGATGGGGTCACTTTGAGGATCAAGGTCATCTAGGACACCCCCGCCACCGGATAGAAAAGAATTCAGCGCAATGGGATAGGATGGGTGGGAGGATGGATGTCATATTTGTCGCGACTGCACCCAGCTTGCCCCCTCTCTCCACTCTCCCTCCCCCAATTCCTCTACTCCCTGCCCCTGTTACCCCTTTCCCTCTCTCCCTCCCCCCGTTTCCCCTTCCTCACCCTGCCCTCTCTTAAGGTAACGTCGGAACCCACTCCTGGCAACATGTCATCAAAACGCCTTCTTCCCTCCAAAGACTTCTCTAGCCTCACGAAACCGCCGAGCAGTCTCTGAGTACTGCGAAGGCCTTTCGGCCAGCGCCGCCGATCCTGAAGGCGGGGCCTCCCCCGGGACCCCCACTGGCGATCCCCCCCCGGGGACCCGCTGGGGCCCCAGGGGGGCCGCATTCTGACTCTGGACTCCCCCGACGTAACTGAGTCCTCCCGGGGGGGTGGCATCCTGGCCTCCTTACCTCCCCCTCCCCCTCCCCCTCCCCCCTCTGGCAGGGAAGGGATAAAGGAAGCGGAGTTCCCTTCGGCGTAACTGCGACGTTCCTTCTCCCTGTTCCTCAAACTCCTTGGGTCCGGCGACGACGAAGACGACGACGACAGCCTCCTCCACGCGACGAAGGGTCAGCGGATTCTTGGAAAGTTCCAGAACGCACCCGCAAACGGTTGAAAGCCGCAAAAAGCCTTCTGGGATGTTTGCGAAGATTCCCAAGGAAGAAGAGGAGGAGGAAATGAGAGAGAGAGAGAGAGAGAGAGACAGATAACAACAAACACAGGTGGGCAGATGTAAGATGCAGGGCGAGGGGGAGGATGCAGAGCCTCCGAGGACCTCGCCTTCCTCGCCGTGCGCCCTCCTCCGCGCTGCTCTGCCCCGCTGCGGCTAGCCCCCCCCCCTCCTCCGAAGGCGGTGGCGCGAGAGGTGGCGGAAGAGCTCGCTGGCGAAAACGGCGCCCTCTCGTCGTCTAGCGGCTCTTCCTCGGTCCCCGTTTCCTTGCGGGCACGGGCAAGGAGGAGGAGAGGAGGAGGAAGAGGAGGAGGGGGAGGAAGAGAGGAGGACGAGGACGAGGACGAGGACGAGGACGAGGACGAGGACGAGAGGGAGGAGGGCAAGGAGGTGGAGGAGGAGGGGGGAAAGAGTGGGGGGAAGAGTTAGAGGAGGAGGAGGAGGAGGAGGAGGAGGAGGAGGAGGAGAGGAGGAGGAGGAAGGGGAGGGGGGGAGGGGGAGGGGGGAGGAGGAGGAGGAGGAGGAGGTCGGGGGGAGGAGGAAGGGGGCGGAGGAGTGGAGGACAAGATGACCTGGATGAGGGGGAGGATGACGACGGGGAAAGGAGGCAGAGCCGCGTCCGGCCCCAGGGCCGCCGAACGCCCCGCCACGCCTGCCAGAGCCCAGTGCACCACCGCCTGCCGACACGCGCCTGGCGGCGCTGTTGCTGCGGCGGCGAGAGGGCGCGTCGGGACCTGCGCTGCGGCAGCTCGGCGGATCGCGCGCGGCTCGCGCGCAGGCGCCGCGCAGGTTGTCATTCGTCTGCTGCCAGTCATCGGCAGTGGCAGCCCTCGTCCTCCTCGTCCTCCTCCTCCTCCTCCTCCTCCTCCTCCTCCTCCTCCTCCTCCTCCTCCTACCTTGGCGCGGCACCGCGCGGGTCTTGGAGCCCTCAACCTCTCTTGGGGGAACTCGGCACCCAGGTGTGCCTGCCAAGGCTTGGGCGCCGCGCCGCGGCACTGTGCATTGGGGGGGCGATCCAAGGGGGGACCGAGTGCTGAGGGAATGAGGCCGAAGGGGTGCCCTCGCGACTAGCCGCGGCGGCGCGCAGACGCCACGAGCGCTGCACGCTGCGTTCAGCGTGAAGGCTTCCGCGCCGGCTCGCGCAGGAATGGCTTGCCCTGAGACCGGGGCGACTCAATTGTTTCACATCGGGCGCGTTCGCCCGGTTTCGGGGCCCGCGACTTTCACGGATCGATCAGGCTCGACAAACGCAGAAGGAACATTGAGTCTAGAGTTCTAGTCGCGATGTTTAGCGACGCCTTGTTTTTCGCAACGTCGGATTTGAGAGTTGTTCCTCTTTGCTCGCCTGCTTGGACACCGCGACGGCACCAATGCCCGCAGCCCCGTCGTCCAAGGAGGGGGCGCCAGCACTGGCTTACACCTCTGGTGTTCCACGAGGATGCCCCACGTGGCTTCGTGCCACACGTCATCGCCAGCACCGACAAGCCGCTACGTGTCTTGCGCACCACTCGCGCAATGATCTTGCATCGCACGGATACATGCTCGTCGCGTCCGGCCGCGCAACCGTCCACCTCAGGCCGGGAGCCATTCCGTCCGCCGCGCCGACCGGTAAAAGCCGCGCCCCTGGAATCCGGCGGCGTTCCCCACGAACGGCAGCGTTCCGTACCAGCCGAAGCGCGCGGGGCCCCGCGCGGCTGGTCGCGCGGGCTTGCGCCCCGGCCGCATTGAGGAGGCATCCGTTGAGTGGATTCTGGCCAGGGTTTCGAGGTGGGCCCAGCCGAGGCGTGCGGTGCCGTGCGGGTGCGGGTGTGGGTGTGGGTGTGGGTGTGGGTGTGTGGGTGTGTCGGTGTGGGTGTGTGTGTGTGTGTGTGCGTGTGCGTGTGCGTGTGCGTGCGCGCGTGCGTGTGCGTGTGCGTGTGCGTGTGCGTGTGCGTGTGCGTGTGCGTGTGCGTGCGGGTGCGCGTGTTGCGCGTTGCGCGTTGTACGTGCGCGTTGCGCGTTGCACGTGCGCGTTGCACGTTGCGCGCGTTGCGTGTTGCGCGTTGCGCGTTGCGCGTTGCGCGTGCGTGTGCGTGTGCGCATGCGCGTGCGCGTGTGCGTGCACGTGCGTGTGCGTGTGCGTGTCTCAGTGTCTGCGTGTCTCAGTGTCTGCGTGTCTGCGTGTCTGCGTGTTTGCGTGACTGCGTAACTGCGTGTCTGCGTGTCTGCGTGTCTGCGTGTCTGCGTGTCTGCGTGTCTGCGTTTCTGCGTGTCTGTGCGTATCTGCGTGTCTGCGTGTCTGCGTGTCTGTGTGTCTGTGTGCCTGTGTGCCTGTGTGCCTGTGTGCCTGTGTGCCTGTGTGCCTGTGTGCCTGTGTGCCTGTGAGTTTGTGGGTCTGTGGGTCTGTGGGTCTGTTGGTCTGTGTGTCTGTGGGTCTGTGGGTCTGTGGGTTTGTGGGTCTGTGGGTCTGTGGGTCTGTGTGTGTCCGTGTGTGTCTTTGTGTCTGTGTGTGTGTGGGTCTTTGTGTGTCCGTGTGTCTGTGTGCCTGTGTGTCTGTGTGTCTGTGTGTCTGTGTGCCTGCGCGTATGAGAGTGTATGTGTGTGTCTCTGTGTGTCTGTGTGTCTGTGGCTGTGGCTGAGGCTGTGTCATCTGTGTCATCTGCGTCATCTGTGTCATCTTGTGTCATCTGTGTCATCTGTGTCATCTGTGTCATCTGTGTCTCTGTGTCTCTGTGTCTCTGTGTCTCTGTGTCTCTGTGTCGCTGTGTCGCTGTGTCGCTGTGTCACTGTGTCGCTGTGTCGCTGTGTCGCTGTGTCTCTGTGTCTCTGTGTCTCTGTGTCTCTGTGTGCCTCTGTGTGTCTCTGTGTCTCTGGGTCTCTGGGTCTCTGGGTCTCTGGGTCTCTGGGTCTGTGGTCTGTGGTATGTGGTCTGTGGTCTGTGGTCTGTGGTCTGCGGTCTGCGGTCTGCGTGTGTGCGTGTGTCCGTGTGTGCCTGTGTGCGTGCGTCTGTGTGTCTGTGTGTCTGTGTGTCTGTGTGTTTGTGTGGGTGTGTGTCTGTATGTCTGTGTGTCTGTGTGTCTGTGTGGTTGTGTGTTGGGAATAGGGGTAGGGCCCTGTTGGGCGGCCCCTCGAGGCCGTGGGGTCCCCGCAAAAGTGCCCCCCACAGGACGCGCGGGGGACGAGGGTTGACGGGCGCGTGGGACGGAAACACGGACAGAGGGCGAGAATGGAGGGAAGGGGTAGAAGGAGGCGAGCCTCTGGGTACGGAGGCCAGGGAGGGCTCATAAATGGCCCCTCGCGTTTTTTTGTGAAAACGGGCGAGCGTCTTACACGGGCCAGATATGACAACATGACCGCACCGCAAGGGCCGCGCGGGACATCACGCATGGGAAATGGAGGAGGGAGAGGGGGGGCTAGCATGTAGGATCTAGGAGCGGGAAAGCGGAAAAGGAGTCTAGGTGAGTCTAGGTCTCAACCGTCGTCGAAACATTTGACCTCTCGATGCGTGCCTAGCTCAGATGGACGGACGCCCCCGGCACCCCTGCTCGGGCCGCGCCCGCTCGCGTGCAGCAAGGGGGGGGGCTGCTTCTGCGCCGCCCCAGCGCACGCCCGGGCTGTCGGGCAGCCGTTGGCTGTCCCGAACTCTCTGCACAGCCCCCGCCTCCTCTTCCTCCTCCTCCTCCTCCTCCTCCTCCTCCTCCTCCTCCTCCTCCCCCTCCTCCTCCTCATCCTCCTCCCTATCGCCCACCCATCCTCATGATCGCCCTCGCTTTTTCGGAGCCCGCGCTGGCGAAACATTTGATGGCTGAGATGCTTGCCTCGCATAACGTGTGCGTTATGCGAGGCGGGCTCATCACATCCTCCTCCTCTTCTTCCTTCTCCTCCTCCTCCTCCCTCCTCCTCCTCCTCCTCCTCCTCTTCCTTCGCATCACCATCTGGGATCGGTCATCCGTTTGCCTTTGTGCGCCGAGGCGCACGTGACCGAGCGTTGCCACCGCAGGGCCATAGGGGAATGCTTCGGTCCGAGGGGCAGTGCGAGCGAGGAGCTCCTGCCCCCTTCAGACGTGGGGATAATCATCATCATCACCATCATCAGCACCATCATCATCAACATCACCAGCGTCATCATCATGATCACATCCATCCTCCTCCCCGAGAGTTCGATGTGTCTCCGCGCCGAGCACCCCCTGTCATGGGGCCCCTGGCGCCCTTGATTGCTCTTACCGCTCGCGGCCGCGTGGCTAGGGCCTAGGCCGCCTAGGGCCTAGGCATAGTCCCCTCCTCTCCTCATTCCTCCATCTCGTATCTCAGGCCGCTTACTCGGCTGGTTCCGCCCCCCCCGCCCTCGTTCGGGCCGTCGCCCGCGTCGACCGCTCCGCCGCTCAGCTCAGGATGTGCGCGAGCCCCTGAGGGCGGTTGCAAAACGAAATGCCCCTAGCCGTCGGGCCCTGGGCCAGGGGAGATACTGGAGAGTTGGCCCCCAGACCGTGACCCAGGAATGCCCCAAGATGGCGCCCAAGTTGCCCCCTAAGACGGCATCCCGCAATTACGTGTTTCCTATGAAACAACGCCATTATGGGTTTCGTTCTCGGGGTTCGTCTCGAGTGCTCTCCGGGCCCCCAGGAAGACCAGGCACAATAAGAGAAAACATATGTGCGTGTGTGTGTGTCTGTGCGTGCGCGCGTGCGCGCGCGTGCGCGCGCGCGTTTGTTGTCGAGCCCCATGGGGCCCAGGCCTTCTCGGAGCACTCTTGGGCCCCCCTGGAAGCCCCCACGAAATCTCTTTCCCCCAGGTCTCTACGGGGCCAACCTGGGGTCCACGGGGCTATTGCCAGCGCCCGGACCTTGGAGGTCTTCTTGGCCGCTGGCTTCTCCGTCGCCTTGGCCTCCCATGGGAAGAGCGGCCGTGAAAGCGGCAGCATGTCGGGGGACTTGGCCTGGTCGGGGCTGCCCTGCAGCTGGCGCGTGAGCTTCATGGCCAAATCCACCGGCGCCGCGCTCATGTCGAATTGCAAGTGCGGGCGCATGAACTTCACCGTGTCGCCCTTGTCGCCGCAGGGCACCTACAGGGCTTCGGGAACACACTTGGACGCGGCGATGGCCGAGCCCACACTGCGGGGCCGACGAGGCGCAGGTTCCGAACGGCGGGCTCGGGCGCAAACAAAAACCAAAAAGACCCCGATAACCGAACGCGAGCGATGATAACCCCGCTGGGATAAAAAAAAGTTCGCGGTCCCTGCGGGGATAATACAGGATTGATCCGGGGAAGGTAAGTTACGATGATGATGATGCTTACGATGGTGACGATGATGGAGGAGGAGGAGGAGGTTTGGGTAGGGATCAGCACTCGGCGAGTGCCGATCCCTACCCAGACGTCGTTCTGACGTTTACTCCATGTTTGTATCGGGCGCATCCCATGGCCCTGCCGCACGGTTGCAACGTGGGCAAACTGAACTGGCGATAACCCCACAGCCCTGCCATTCGCTCGTGATTGTGGAAGCTGGTGTGGCGAAACCATCACGGCCATGCTCGGCGTTTTTGATGCCATTGCTAATCAACATGATATGATAGCAACTTCGATCCCCGCAACTTTCCAAGTGATTATCAAGTTCGGCCCCCGCGCCTTCCCCACAGATAAATCCCTGTGGGCGGGGATAAAAAATCGAGGGGGGAAAGGTGGGGGGGGCCCTTTATTATCGCCCGTTCGGGGTTAATGTCGCGGCCCCGAGAAGCCGCAGCATAATTTTGCACTGCCCCGGGCCCCAGGGCATTCTGGTGCTTCGCGCGAGCTCCATCGATCCATCGAGGCGTTTGGAAGGTGTCTTCAGGGCCCTCGGACAGCTCCATGGGCGACCCTAGGTTTGGGCGGGGGCTAATGCAAATTTCGGCCCACTGGGCGGCCTGGATGCTC